GAAAAGGCCCACGAGAAACAGTCCCCCCCCCCCCCCCGTCTCCCTCTCCTCCCTCTTGGATTGGGTGCTGACTCAGCTTTCCTGCGGCTGATTTTCCCCTCGGTACCTGGGACGGCCTTTTGCTGGCCTGTCCTGCGTGCGAGTGGAGAAAAGCCCCCGGGCCCTCCTGGGCCAGTAGGTTGGCGACCTAGACAGGACCCGGGGGAGGCTGCCAGCCGTTCTGTTTCTCGTGGGCCTTTTCTCCCGTGCTGGCCTGGGGTCTGGAAGGACGTCCCGAATGCTGTCGTGCCTGGACCGCTTCTTGTCTACGTGTTCTGCGGTCAGAAACCCCGTTCTCCTCTGAGCTCCTGCGGCAGGGCTGTTGTTGTTTGTGCGTGGCTTTGACCTCTCTCGCTGTGTTGTCCCTCAAAGGCCGCAAGCATACAGCCACCCCCCAGGCCACAGCCGTGAAGTCTGCATGAACTTGCCGAGGCTGCCGGCAGGACGGGGCTGGTGAGAAAGCCAGGACGTGAGGTCCGGCTGTGACGGGAGTGCTTTCCCTGCCGCCTGGCGGGGCCACCGAACCCCCGGCGCTCCGGCTGCCTGAGCCCGTTTGGTTTGTTCCTGAGGCCAAGCCGAGCCTCCTTGCAAGAGTGTTTGCAGTTTTAAGTGAAATAATCTGTGTAGATCTTGCAGGGTGGGCCTGAAACCAGTCAATCGTGTTAACTGGTTGGCTTGGTTTGATTTATGTTATTAAAAAAATTTTTTTTAATGTTTATTTGTTTTTGAGACAGAGAGAGACAGAGCATGAGCAGAGGAGGGGCAGAAAGAGAGGGAGACACAGAATCGGAAGCAGGCTCCAGGCTCCGAGCTGTCAGCACAGAGCCCGACATGGGGCTCGAACTCACAGACTGTGAGACATGACCTGAGCCGAAGTCGGACGCTCAACCGACGGAGCCCCCCAGGCGCCCCTGATTTATGTTATTTTTTAAAAAGTCTGCTGGTTAAGAAGTGGGAGTGTGGTGGTTAACACAGCAGCTCTGAGTCAGGTGGGCTGGAAGCCGTTTCTCGTGTGTAGGGCTGGTCACTTGTCCCTGGTGCTGGGGCTCAGCATCGGCTCTGCGGCCTTGGAGCCAGCCCTCTGTCTGCGGTCCCCTGTGGCCTCGTCCCCTCCCGAGGCCGTTGTGCGGGAGCCTCACGTCGGGCTCCCAAAACGGCTTCACCTTCTTCCTGGCTGTCCCTGCAGACCCGTTCTGTCCGTTGGCAAGATGCTCAGTTACTCCAGTGTTCTTTCTCTTACTCTCCTTTGCGCGGTGGGGAATTTGCAGGAGATACGGAGGTAGACAGAGGGTATACTGAACCCAGGTTCCCGTCACCCAGCCTGACAGCGACCAGCTCGTCGCCGCCTAAGTGTCATCTGTGCCTGCACACACTTCTAGTCCTTCCCGCAGTTGTATGTTTTAAAAGTGCAGTTGCCGGGCGCCTGGGGGGCTCAGCTGGTCGAGGTTCCCGCTTCCGCTGAGGTCACGATCTCGTGGTTCTTGAGTTCGAGCTCCATGTCGGGCTCACCGCTGTGAGCATGGAGCCCGCTTCTGATCCTCTGTTCCCCTGTCTCTCTGCCCCTCCCCCACTCGTATTCGCTCAAAAGTAAACGTTTAAAGAAAGATTATGAGAATTACGAACATTTGGAATACAGTGAGCGTACAAGAGCCACACACAGGTAAGGTACACGTTCTGACGGGCGTGGACGTGTCCACGCGTGCGCAAGGCAGCCTCGGGAGCGGGCATCTCTGTTGCCTGTGCGGGCTCCCTCGTGTCCTCTGACCTGCGTCCCCCCACCGCTGTCCCCAGGCGGCCCGAGCCGCGTTCTGCCTCTGCAGGTTACTTTGCGTGTTCTAGAACTTTACGTACGTGGACTTGGTCAGTGGTGCTGTTGTTTTCTCCTGACTCCTTTCAGCACCCGATTTTCGGGTGGTCGTGTTTCCTCTTTGTTTCTGAGGAGTTTTCCCTCGGAGGATAGACTGCCGTTTGTTGACGACTGTTCGGGTCCCGTTGGACTCTGGTGACTATGAACAAAGCCATTGTGAACATCCACATGGGGGTCTCGTGTGGCCATGTCTTTGGTTCTTTGGGCAAATACCCGGGAGCGGGGTTACTGGATTTTATGACAGCTTTCTCGAAGAGGAACTGCCAAGGTGTTTTCCAAAGGGATCCGCCTGCTTTGCACCACACCCCCAGTTCAGGAACCTCTGTGTAGCCCCCCCCCCCCCCCCCGTGCACCAGCATGTGGTGTTGCGGTGGGTTGGTTTTGCGGTTTCTGATTTGAGCTGTGTAGTGGTATTTTAGTGTGTGTGTGTGTGTGTGTGTGTGTGTGTGTGTGTTTCAGTGTTTGTTTGTTTAGAGAGAGCTCAAGCAGGGGAGGGGCAGAGAGAGAGAGGGACAGAGAGAATCCCAAGCAGGCTCCACACTGTCAGCACAGGGCCTGACGCGGGGCTTGAACCCACGTACCGTGAGATCATGACCTGAGCTGAAACCAAGAGTTGGATGCTTAACCAACTGAACCACTCAGGTGCCCCTCATTGTGGTTTCAATTTGCATTTTCCTAATCACTAATAATGTTCATCGCCTTTTGCCTGTTTTTAAGAACTGATTTCTTTCTCACTATTGAATTTTGAGTATTCTTTTTAAAAAACATATTTTTTTTAACATTTATTCACCTTGAGATAGAGACAGAGTGTGAGGGGCGGGGGGGCAGAGAGAGAGGGAGACAGAGAATCCGAAGTAGGCTCCAGGCTCTGAGCAGTCAGCACAGAGCCCGACGCAGGGCTCGAACTCAGGACTGTGAGATCATGACCTGAGCTTAAGTTGGACACTTAACCGACTGAGCCACCCAGGCTCCCCAATAGCTTAATTTTCAATAAAAGTTCGACTTGTTCACATTTTTCTTTCATAAGTTGTGTTTTTTGCCTCTTAAGAAATATTTGCCTAAATATTTGCTCTTGAGCTCACAAGGGCTTTCTTGTGTGTTTTCTAGAAGTTTTACAGTTTAGGTTTTCTTTTTAAATCTTTTCATCCATCTTGAGGGAATTTTTACATGTGGTGCAGTGTATGAGTTGAAAGTTTATTATTTTGCATGTGGATGTCCACTGGTTCCAGCACCGTTGTTAATCACACTGTCCTTTCTCTATGAAATACCCTTGTCGCCTTTGCAAAAGTCAGTCGACAGTGTAGGAGTTGGTTTATTTATAGACTTGGTTCTGTTTCACTGACCCCCATGTGTGTCCTTTGGCCAAAGAAGACCTTGGTTACTTAGCTGTATAGTAAGTGTTGGAAGTGGGTAGAATAATTTCTCTTTGTCTTTTTTTAAAACGTTGTTTTGGTTATTCTATCTCCTTTGCGTTTCCATGTACATTTTATCTTAAAGTTTATTTTCATTTATTTGAGAGAGTAAGTGGGAGAGGGGTTAGAGAGAGAGGGAGAGACAGAATCCCAAGCAGAATCAGCACGGAGCCCGACCTGGGGCTCGAACTCACGAACCGTGAGATCATGACCTGAGCCAAAGTCAAGAGTTGGACACGTAACCTACTGAGCCACCCAGGTGCCCCACATTTCCATATAAATTTTAGAATCAGCTTGTTGGTTTTTGCATAGTTTTGTTAGGAATTGCATTGAATCGATAGGTCGTTTGGAAAGATTTGCTGTTGCATTTTCCAGTATTGGGTCTTTCAATCCATGAACATGGTATATCTTTCTACTTACTTAGGTCTTTCCGTGTTTCTCTAGCAGTCCTCTGTTATTTTAGTGTGGGGTCGTGGACACCTTTTGTTAGATTTGTTCTCAGGCAGTTAAGCTTTGGGCACCACTGTAAATGGGATTCTGTGTTAAATTTTATTTTCCAGTTACCTGCTGCTCATAAGGAAGAACACACTTGATTTTCATACATTAACCGTGATCTTTTGCTAAATTTATTGATTCTGGTACTTGATTGGTAGATTTATTAGGATTTGCTGTAAGAAATAATTATATCATCTCTGAGTAGGGACAGTTTTACTTCTTCCTTTCAGTCTTCACGATTTTATTTCTTTTCCTTGGTCTTGTTGAGGTGACTAGGCCCTTCAGCCTTTTCTCACGGAGATGACGTAAGCTGTAGGTTTTTCACAGATGCCCTGTATGAATTTGAGGAAATTCCTTACTGTTCCTAATGTTGTTTTTACCAGGTGCGCCCACAGCATTGTAGTTATGTTGAAAGAAACAGTCTGTCACTTTTAGGAGGCATGCTGACGTATTTGTGAGGGACACACTGGTAACCTTTGTGGCCTGCTTCTGAATAATGTGGAACGGGTGTGGAAAACGGTTGTGACAAAAAGCGTCCATTCCTGGCAAGAGCCTCAGTGCCGCGAGAGGCACACGGCCTCTAATTCTGCCTTACTGTGGAGTGACGTTAGGCTTGACCACCCGGTCGAGGTGGCGTCCACCAGGCTTCTCTGGGGTGTAGTTACCGTTTCCCCTTTTTAATTAATACATACCTCGGGCGAGGTCCTGGGGAGCTATGCGGAGATCGTGGTTCCACTTGGACTTCCGCACCACAGGTGGACCTCACCTGCCGCCACTGCTTACTGCTGTGTTCTAGGCCTCATCCTCTCCTCGGCTGTTGATCAGAACTCCGTTTTCATGTTTCATCCCATGAGCCGTGATGCACTCCTGCTGTTACAACCTCGTTTCACATTGTTCCTGTGCTGGCCACCGAGGGCTCTCCGGTTCGTCCCGTGTCCCTTTGGCATGCCCCCTGTCTTCCTGAGCACATCCTTGTTTTCTAGAACCACAGATGCTCTGGAGTCACCTGAAATCTCCCATGTTCCAAACCTTCGAATCAGCAGCATCTCTGAGGAGCTCTGGTTTCTTTCTCTTTTTTATTTTAATTATTTAAAAAAAAATTTTTTTTTTAACGTTTATTTATTTTTGAGACAGGGAGAGACAGAGCACGAACGGGGGAGGGTCAGAGAGAGAGGGAGACACAGAATCTGAAACAGGCTCCAGGCTCTGAGCAGTCAGCCCAGAGCCCGACGCGGGGCTCGAACTCACGGACCGCGAGATCATGACCCGAGCCGAAGTCGGACACTTAAACGACTGAGCCACCCAGGCGCCCCTATTTTTTTTAATGTTTATTCATTTTTGAGAGACAGAGCATGAACAGGGAAGGGGCAGAGAGGACACAGAATCCAAAGCAGGCTCCAGGCTCTGAGCCATCAGCACAGAGCCCAGTGAGGGGCTTGAACTCACGAACCGCGAGATCATGACCTGAGCCGAAGTCAGACGCTCAACCGACTGAGCCACCCAGGCGCCCCTCCCTGGTTTCTTTTATGAGAGAATAGTTTGTGCTGCTTTTTTTCTTTTTTTAAAAAATTTTTTTAATGTTTATTTTTTGAGAGAGAGATAGAGTGTGAGCAGGGGAAGGGCAGAGAGAGAGGGAGACACAGAATCCGAAGCAGGCTCCAGGCTCCGAGCTGTCGGCACGGAGCCTGACGCGGGGCTCGAACCCACAGGCCGTGAGATCATGACCTGAGCCAGTTGGACGCTTAACCGAATGAGCCACCCAGGTGCCTCTTCTTATGTTTATTTTTGAGAGAGAGAGAGAGACAGAGAGACAGACAGAGCTCGAGCAGGGGAGGGGCAGAGAGAGGGAGACACAGAATTTGAAGAAGGCTCCAGGCTCTGAGCTGTCGGGAGGCCGATGCCAGGCCTGAAACCCCAAACCATGAGATCATGAGCAGAGCCAGAGTTGGATGCCTAACTGACTGAGCCACCCAGACGCCCCAGTGCTGTTTTTTGAGATTGAGTTGTTTGCGTTGTCCTTGCTGAGTTGTGAGAATTCTTGACATATTCTGGCTGTGAATGCCTCGTGAGATACTTCATTACACATAGCGTAGCTGCTTGTGGTTTTAATGGCATCTTGACTAGTGGAAGTTTTCAGTGTATCAAAATTTTTTTTAGGTTTATTTATTTATTTTGAGAGAGAGAGAGAGAGAGAGAGAGAGAGGGAGAGAGTGCACGCAAGCAGGGTAGGAGCAGGGAGAGAGAGGGAGGGAGAGAGAATCCCAAGCAGGCTCCATGCTGTCAGCGCAGAGCCTGACGCGGGGCTTGAACCCGTGATCCGTGAGATCATGACCTGAGCTGAAGTCAAGAGTTGGACACTTAACTGACTGAGCCCCCCTAGGCGCCCTGTGTGTCTATTTTACAACCGGGTCGTCTGCTTCTCCAGAAGTTGCTGGGCTTGCACTGGGCACTACTCTGGAGTTGGCGGTTCCGTTTTGGGGGAAGGGCCACTTTAACAATGTGGAGTCTTCTGTGAGCAGAGCTCCCCTTTTTTCGTCTTTACATTTGCTCAGCAGTGTCTTACAGTTTTCAGTGTAGAGGTCTTACAAATCTTTCATTAAAGTTATTCCGGGCGGGGGGGGGGGGGGGGCGTCTGGGTGGCTCAGTCGGTTAAGCGGCTGACTCTTGATTTCAGCTCAGGTCATGATCTCAGGGTTGTGAGTTCGAGCCCCACATCGGGCTCTGTGCTGGCAGGTTGGAGCCTCCGTGGGATTCTCTCTCTCCCTGTCTCTCTACCCCTCCTGAGCACACACTCTCCCTCTCTGCCCCTCCCCTGCTCACGAGTTCACTCTCTTTCTCTCTCAAAATAAATAAGTAAACATTAAAAAACAATTATCCCTAGGTATTTAGCTTTTACTGCTGTTTTAAACGGCATTAGAAAAATCCATTTCAAAATTCTTTGCTGCTGACGTATGCAAATAGACTTCATTTTTGCCCATTGACCCCATGTGTTCTGACCTTGCTCAATCCACCTGAGTTCTAGAAGTTTCTATGTAAATTCCTTAGGTCAGTCTGTGTGTTAAATTGTGTGCCTGTGAATAGAGATGTTTTGTTGTTGCGTTTCTAGTCTTTGTGCTGTATTTTTTCCTGCCCTGTGGTGCTGGCCGAGCCTGGACTGAGTACTGGAGGGAAGGGTCTTTCACCTGTCCCTGCCCTTCGGGGGTCCTCAGTGTCGCGCCGCTCGTCTGGTGGCCGCTGCAGGGCGCACACCTTCCTGTACCCTTGGGTCTCCTGACATCAACCACGTGTGCTGCCGAACGGACTGCCACCACGGAGAGGTTGCTCCCTGGGTCTGAGAGAGCACGGGGTAGTTGATGCTTGGAGGCGGGCGTGCCCCGCTGGCCCCGGGACTGTGAGCCTGAGGGGGTCTTGTGGGGAGGGACAGAGTGGGGAGAGAGAGAGAATGGATCCCTGCCAAGCAGGCTCTGTGCTGACTGTGGAGCCCGATTCGGGGCTGGAGCCCACGACCCTGGGATGGTGACCTGAGCTGAAATCAGGAGTCAGGTGCCCAGCTGACTGACACGGCTTGCTAACCTGTCAGCTAATATTCGTAGAGGATGTTTGTGTCTGCGTTCATGAGGGAAATTGGCCCGACGATTTCCTTTTTCTACGCGGAGTTTGCTTTACGAGGCTTTGTGTCCCTCTGGTTTGCGCACCGGGGTAAGGCCAGCCTCATTGGTGTCACTCGTTCCTACACGTGTCAGGTCTTGGTTATTTGTGTGTTTCAAGGAATTTGTTCATTTCATCTAAGTTTGAAATCATAGCGTCCGTGTTTTATATGGTCTACAGCCGTGACGTCTCCCTTGACTTTCTGTCCGCGTTGCATCACGATTCAACAAGGGTCGTGTCTTGGGTTCGTTGGTGTATTTTTGTGCCCCTTTTAGTCTGTAGGCTCCCCCTGTTTGTTGAAGAAACCCCCTTGTCTTGCGATCAGTTAACTCGCGAGATAATAGTTGCCTTTAGGGGCCTCTGGGTGGCTCGGTCTGACTCTGGATGTCCACTCAGATCGTGATCTCATGGTTCATGAGGTCGAGCCCTGCTCTGTCGGCGTGGAGCCTGCTTGGGATTCTCTCTGTCCCTCTCTCTCTCTCTCTGTTCCTGCCCCTACCCCGCTCATTCTCTCTCAAAATAAGTAAACAAACTTAAGAGAAAAATAGTTGCCTTTAACCCTCAGTCCACCCGCTGCTTTTCAAGCTCTGACCTGATCAGGCACGCTTCCAGGCTCCATCGCGAGCGAGCCCACGAGCCCAGTTACCACGTTTCCGCCCCCCCCCCCCCCCCCCGCCCCGCCGTAGGCGACACCGACTGAAGCCACGGAAGCGTGTGTGTCACAACTTCGTCCTAAACTTTACGCGATTTGTTCTGAAGTGATGCCTCCCTTTCCTCTTGTGCATTTTGAGTTCGGTAATGAGGATTTGTTCTCGTTTTTGTCTTCAGTATTCGGGAGCAAACCGTGTTTAAGACCGTTGAGAGTGGAAAACAGGTGATCGTAACAGTCTTCACTGCTGTCTCTACACTTGTGTTTCAGGTGGGTCTGCGAAGAGATCCCGGACCTCAAGCTCGCTATGGAGAACTACGTTTTAATCGACTACGACACCAAAAGGTGAGCCGAGCTCTGCCGAGTGGTCTCTGGTCTGAGACTCCCTGTCTGGGTTGGCTGGCGCCTCCGTGAGGTTTTGTTGGGGGAAACGTGGATCAGACACCGGAGGACGCGATTGGGAGGGGCGCGCTGCGGGCGCTGCCCCTGCCGTGTGCGGGGCCAGCCCCGGCTGGCGGGCGCTGCCTTCTCTGCGGCCACCGCCAGCGGCGCCTCGGCACGGGCCTCCCCGGTCTCGGTCTCGGTCTCGGTCTCGGTCTCGGGCGCCGGGCCGGCTCCAGGCAGGGTCTCTGGGGTTCACCCTCCGGCAGCTTCTGCCAGTTTCCCCGCTGGCACATCCGGATGGGGAGAGTCCTGTGGGTGGGGAAGGGCGGGGCCGGCTCTGGAATGCCTGCCTGGAGTTATTTGTTTCTCTTCTTCCCCACTCCTGCCGGTTTAGCTCTGGGCAGGCTTGAAAGCGGCCTGCAGTCTGTCCGGAGGACTGGGTCACCTGCGGGCATGATAGCTGGGCCCAGAGGAGCCTCGAAGCCCCTCGCGGGGCCCGGCACCCCACTGTCGTTGACCTGGCCTCGCTCTTCCAGCCTGAGCCAGCCCTGGCCCCGTACCCTGTTCCCTGATCAGCTCAGCACTTGAGAAGCAAGGAAGGGGCTGTGCTCACCCTCCGTTGTCCCGAGCGCTCAGGCCCTGGGCTCTGGTGACCTGTGCCTCTGGCAGCAGGGGCCCGGCCGAGGACTGGGGTACGCCCCTCCCGATCCCAGGGCGAGGGTGCGGACGGGCGCTGACCCTTGGACAGGCATTTGGCCAGCGAAGCACACCGTCAGAAAAGGGTTGATTGCTCTGTGCCCGGCCAGGGTTTTTAAGGATTGTTTTCCTTCAAGGTGGTTTTCCCTTCCGTGTCCAGGTGGCTTAGGAGAGATTGCAAGTGGACACTAGGGGGCCGGTCTGGGGTGCGGCCGAGGATGAGGGGCAGGCGGTCGGTGAAGACGCAGGGAGGCCTGGGGCAGGAAGCTCGGGGTGCACACGGTGCGGCCATCGCTTCCCGTGCCCTGGGTGTGGAGGCTCCTCTCCCAGGCTCCTGGTGTCCTGCTCAGGGCGGGAAGCCTCCTTGCTCTGTGTGCGTTTGTGGGTGTTGTAGGAAGAGCTGGTGACTCCCCCTCCGGTTTGGGGCAGACACTTGGAGCACGTCCCCTCCGCACCGCTGACACCAAGCGGGTCTCGTCCTCCGTGGGGCGTCCCGGGCCCTGTCACAGGCTGAGCAGCGTCCCTGGCCCCACCCTGTCGATGCCGGAAGTGCCCCCGGAGCATCCGCAGATGTCACGCAGTGTCCCCTGGAGGCAGAGTCAGCCCTTGGTGGGGGGTGGGGGCGGCTCCTGGGTTGGAGGATTTCACTGAAAGTCATACTTGAAGTAAAAATGGTGGGGTTTGGGAGAGTCTAGTCTCACCGACAGACTCCCAGCCCGGTTGTCCTTAGGTATCTAACATGTGCTACCTATGTCTTGGAAAGCGCTGGAAACTTTCTGCAGAGGCCGGTGTTGGGCGGTGCCCAGGAGAATCGGGGGGCCCTTGCTGCCGCCGGGTGGTCCCCAAACCCATCAAGTTAGGGCTGAGGCAGGGGCTGTTTCCGGCCGGGGAAGGAAGACCGTGTGGGGCTGGTGCACAGCCCTGCGGGGCAGTGGGTCCTGCTGGCAGGTCAGATGGGACTGCTGTCCGGCCCCGGGGGCAGTGACGGCCGGCCCGGGTCCTGCCCACAGCGCGACGTGAAGTCTGTGCAGGGCTCCTCACCTAACACCTCCTGGGCGCGCCGTTGACCTTGGGTTTGACCCGGGAGCCTCGGCTTCCGCAGGCCGCCCCAAGCACGCGGCACGTGGCCCAAGACTGTCTCAGCCCCAGACTGTTGGCTCGGCCTCGTCGCCCACGCGCGGTTCTCCTGGGGGCCCGAGTCCTCCGCCTGCCCACCGGGGGGCGGGCTGGCTCTGCCTGGCCTTGGGCTGTCCCTCCCGAGAGGCCGGCTGGGCCCCCACGCTCGTTCCGAGCTCCTCCGTGACCGGAGCCTTTCCCTTGCCTTCCAGCTTCGAGAGCATGCAGAGGCTCTGTGATAAGTACAACCGCGCCATCGACAGCATCCACCAGCTGGTAGGTGGCCTCTGCCCTCCCCCCACGCTCGGCTCCTTGCCTGGGGCCTGTGCTGGGCTGCCAGACCCGGCTGCCCTCACGCTCCCCGGGTGGTTTTAACCACACGCCTCCCAGAGCCTGCAGGCCACCTGGAGTGTGGGCTTCCTTGAGAGGCGTCTGCAGGGAGCGCACGAATGTGGTTTGGGTCTGGGGAGCTGCTGTCGGTGGTGGGGTGCGTCCTCGGGCCCCGTGTGCCCAGCGGTCATCCCCAGGCTCGCGCGCACGCGTACCTTCCCGCTGGTGCCCCGTCTCCGCGGACTGTGACAGGCGGACACGCTGAGGAGCTTCCCGGGGCTTCTCCTGCCCCTCGGCCAGCAGTGTTGTGAGCATCTCCCCGCCGTCCTGGGACATTCTGACTGGGGAGAGGCCTGAGGCTCTGTCCTCGCTTTCCTGACCCACCATGCTGGGGCCTTAGGAGGCCTCGCCTGGCAAAGAACAGAGACAGCCGGGCCAGGCCAGGCTGCGGAAGCAGTTCCAAAGAGCACGTCACTCCTGTTTCCAGGGACGTTCTGCTGTCCAGACAGTGTGGGCTCTTGGTCTGGGTGGGGGCTCTCCGGCAGGAGCCTTGCTGTGGGGGGGGCTGTGGTGGGGTGACAGGCCCTGTGGCACCGGGGCCTGGGACAGGGCAGTCATCCCCGTTAGTAGCAGTGATGGGGGAGGGGGGTGCTGAGTCAGTCGGGTATGGTCGGGCCTCGGGCCTCCTGTGCAAAGGGACTGGGGCTCAGAGGTTCTTCTGGGGTCAGCTGTGTGGCACTCCCACCCCACTGCCTCAGTTTTGTCCTGGGCAGGAGGCGGGGCCTGAGGTTTGGGCCGGGCCGTGCGGTCTCCAGTCCCCCGCACAGTGGTGGCCTGGCTCCAGGCCGCCCTGTGGCTCTAGGTGGGAAGGTCCTCGGGGATGCTCTGTGCCCCAGTCCTGGCTGCAGGTGGCTGTAGGGCAGCTGCTGTGCGTCGGAAGGGGGTGGGCTGTGAGGGGTCGGAGGACCCACGGCCCCTTCGGGCCCAGCTCCTGTCCCTGAGGCAGAGGTCCCGGCCATGGGGCCCTAAGAAGGGGCCCACAAGGCGCTAGCCTTTTTGTGGCTCCCGGCCCACTTCTCTGCCCAGCCAGGCTCCCGGGTAAGGGCAGAGAGCTCTGAGGCCAGGGCTGCGGGGCCTGCACAGCTAGCGGCCTCTGCCGTCTCCTGAGGGGTGTGGCGCCCGGGACGGCACATACGTGTGAGCCTTTAGCCGGCTCGGGCGGTCACTTGTGACGTGCTCCCTTTGACGCCCTAGTGGAAGGGGACCACTCAGCCCATGAAACTGAACACCCGGCCGTCCAACGGGCTCCTGCGGCACATCCTGCAGCAGGTGTATAACCACTCGGTGACGGACCCCGAGAAGCTCAACAACTACGAGCCCTTCTCCCCGGAGGTGTACGGGGAGACCTCCTTCGACCTGGTCGCGCAGATGATCGACGAGATCAAGATGACCGAGGACGACCTGTTTGTGGACCTGGGCAGCGGTGAGTGCGGGCGGCCCGTGCGGGCAGCACGCCGCCTCCCTGGCCCCCGGAGGCAGAGCGGGTGGCTCGGTCACCACCCCCTGCTGCCCGCAGCCCCTCGCGGCAAGCCCCTGTGGCCTCTTGAGACCTGGACGGCTGGGCCTGCGTGCGTGCGGCCCATTTGTCAGGACGCACGGTCCGGAGAGCCTGTCTCTGGTGCGCGGGGCCTGCTCCCTGCAGCCCTGCGTCAGAGCCGGCCCCCGCCACGCTGTGGCGCCGACGGGGGTGGGCTCGGGTGGCCGGAGCCTTCGGGGTGCTCCCGCGTCTCGTGGAGCCGTGTCTCGCGGATCACTTAGGTCTCAGGAGAACAGCGTCCTGACGCGGGGGCCGTGCGGTGGCCTGTGTGTGTGAGGCAGTGTGAGCGAGACGGCCGTCCCGTCCGCGGGTGGGGGCTCAGCTCAGGGTCTGTGTCCCTAGAATGTCCTCAGGGACCTGGGAGAGCCTGTGGCCTCTGCCTGTTGACCCCCATGGGCAGCACCAGGGGTAGGTCGCGCCTCTGACCCAGGGGCCGCGTCTGTGACAGCACCTCTCCCTTCCCCCCTGTCTCCCTCCCTCTCCCCCCTCCCTCCCTCTTCCTCTCTCTCTCTTCCTCTCTTTCTTTCCCTCTCTTTCTCTTCCTCCCTCCTTCTCTCTCCCCCTCCCCCTCCCCCTCTCTGTCTCTCTCTCTCTGTGTTTGTCTCTGAAGGAGTGGGCCAGGTCGTGCTCCAGGTGGCCGCGGCCACCAACTGCAAACATCACTACGGCGTGGAGAAAGCTGACATCCCAGCCAAGTACGCGGAGGTGAGTGACCCTGGAGTATGGTGCAGGGTCTGGCTCCTGTTGGCCATGACCTGCGGGGCACAGAGAGAGGACAGAACAAGGCGGGTCTCCGTGTGCTCCCCACAGGGCGGCCCGTGCCCTCCAGAGGCGGCTGCCCGGGGAGGGGCCGGTGGGGTTGGGGCAGCGCCTCTGTCTCCGGAAACCCCTTTAGAGTGTGTGGTCCGGACCCGTGGACCCTGCAGGCCCCGGGCTGTCCTGGGGCTGCTTGTCAAAGGGGTCGTGTTGAGGCCTGGTCCACGGGCGGCCCCCTGCTTGCCTCGTGGGGGTAGGAAGGGGCCACGGGGAGCCGCTGACGGCTGTGTGGTCGTTCCCTTGCAGACCATGGACCGAGAGTTCAGGAAGTGGATGAAATGGTATGGAAAAAAGCATGCAGAATACACAGTGAGTGCCATCGCTCCATGCCCCTGCGGCTACCGATCCAGCTCCATTTCCGCGCCTCTTCCTCCCCCTTGACCCGCCGTTCTTCTCCCCTCCCGGGACGGGACGCCCTCCCTGCCTGGCCCGGCCCTGCGTGGGGCGCGCGAGTCGTCACCGGAGTGCCGCCTCCCTCTCCGGTCTCTTCCACCCTCTCTCTGGGCTGCCCGGGGGCTGCGGCCCCTGCGCCTGCCGTCCGAGAACGGCGACGGTTCCCCTCTCCCCCGGCCGCTGAGCGGAGTTCATCGTGCGTGTGTCTCCAGGCCCCTGCGGGCTCTCGGGGAGCCCTCCTTGGTGTTCCGCACGTGTCTGTGCGAGCAGCGGTGCCAGGCGGGGCCGTGGGGTGTGGGTGGGACGGCCTCTTCTCTCACCTGCTGGCCCGCTCCGGGGCACCTTCTCCTTGCCTTCGTGGCAGTACGTGACCCCGCCCGTGAGTCCCTCCTGGCGAGGCTCGGCTTTGGGGCCGCACGCGCCCCCGGCTCTCCCGGCTGCCGCCCCTCGGCCTCCGTTGCTCGGCCCCGCCTGTCGATGCCCAGGCTCCTTGGCCAGGGTTCGAGGCCCCTGGCCTCCGTCTGCCTCCGCCCGGGCACCTGCATCACACCTTGAAATGTGTGTCTGGGCCCGTGACCCCGTCCCTCACTCTCTCTCTTGCCGTGGACACACCGCTGCCCTGTAGTCTCCCCGTACTGGGCTGCCGCGGGGACGGCACAGACGGAGTGTGTCCAAGCCGCATCTTTGACTCTTCCTCTCATCCCAGGTCATCGCCTGCACGTACCCAGAGGTTGAGGCCCCGATCGCTGAGGTCCACTTGGCCCTGCGGCGGGGGCCCCGTTGCCCCTCCGTTCCGTGTTCACTTCTTTCCCTCTCCGTGGTCACCGGCCCCAAGCGGGCCGTCGTGGGGCGTGGGCTTTGAGCCGCTTGTGTTAGGGAATGAGGATTGGTCACGAGATGACAGGCTGGGGCGTGGGGGGGGGGGGGGGGGGGGGGGGGGGAGGCTCCCTCTCCCTTAGCACCGCCTGACAGCTGCTGCTTTCACCCTCGTGCCTCTGCTGCAGCGTGGGAAAGGCACTCCCCAAACCAAGGTCACCCACCCCTGCCCCTCGGTATTTTCCGGGCGTTCTGGGGAGTTCCGTGTTCTGTGCTTGACGTGTAGAGCTGTGAGGTGTGAGGTCGGCTCCCGGATCCCTTCCGGGCACGCAGGCCCCGTCCTTGCAGTCTGCCCTCGCCCCGGTGCTCTGCCCGTGAGGCGTGTCGCATGCCAGTTGAGTGTTTCTGGCCGTCTGTCCTGTCCCGCTGTCCGTCTCCCTCACCAGCCCGTGCCGGCCACGTTCCCGTGGCTCTGGAGTGCGTCTGCGCTCCCGCAGCGCCCGGCCGTCCTCTGACGTGATGCTTGTCTTTGCCTTGTCCGGATAAACCCGAGAGTCCGTCTGGGGTCGCCCATCACAGAGCACGCTGGCTCGGGGCCGGGGGGAGCGTGTGCATCTGCCCGTTGGGTCGGGAGGAAGCAACATCTTGCTGGTGTTTCCTGCCCTCACACGGGGACTCTCCGTCCGTCTGTTGACTTCTTCGTTGAGGTCGTTCACCAGGGTCTTGTACTGAGCCTCGTGTAGGCGTCCTACACGTTCCGTTAAGGTTATGCCCGAGTCTGTCTGTCTGGGTGCTCACGTGAAGGTCTTTTTAGCCTCCGGTTCCACTTGTTCGTTGCGCGTTGATAGGAAGGCAGCTGACCTTTGTGTGTGGTTTGTTCGGGGGCAGCAATACCCTTACTCCGTGACTGTTGCCGTAACGGCTGGTCAGTTCCAGGTTTGTTTGTTGGTTTGTTCTCTGGATTCTTTTGATCCTGTCATCTGTGAACACAGGCGGTTTTACGCCTTCCTTCTCGATCTGCGTCCCGTACGTCTGTCTTGCTGTGCACGCCAGCGTGGTGGCAGACGTGTGCAGGACGCTGTCACGAAGAGAGAGCGGCCCCCTTGCCCTGGTCCTGAGGGCATCGGGAGAGCTTCGGGTTCCTCACCATGGAGACGGCGTGCGTTTGCAGGTGTCCCGTGGGTGCCCTTTATCAAGCTGACGTGGTTCTCGTCTGCCTTATTTTGTCGAGAGGCTTCATCATGGAGGCCCTCTGTGCGTCTGGCGTGAGCCTGTGCTCTTTCTTTGGCCCGTTGATGTGGTAAGCGGAGCCAGCCCTCCCGCCAGGGTGGATCCCACTCGGTCGTGGCGTGCGGTCATTTCCACACGCTGTGTCGGATTTCCGGGGCGTTCCCGTGTCCTTGAGAGATGTCGACCCATTTTCCTTCCTGTGGAACATCTTTGGTTCTGGTGTCAGGGTGCGGCCGGCCTCGTGGTGGGGAGGTGCCCTTCTCCTTTTGGGCCAGGACGTGCCCATCCTGTCTGTCTCCTGGTGGGATTTCTTGCGGAGTTTTCTCCCCTCCGTGAAAGGCGAGCAGTCCAGCCTTCCTCCTGTGCCCCTGTGTCTGAGGTCCCCTGGTGTTTGCTGTCCGGGCTGAGTGCGCAGTGGGTCCAGTGGGTTTGTTTCCAGGGAACTTCTTCCCGCACGGTCCCCGTATCTGCTCTTAACACTGGCTGTATTCCCAAATGGCTCATCGTTTTCCTAAAGCTGTGACTTCCTAAACTGTTTTATTTCATTTTTGTTTCTTAAAATTTTAGCTTAGAACGCGAACAGGGGAGAGGGCCAGAGGGAGAGAGCATCTTAAGGAGGCTCCGCGCTCAGCCTGACACGGGGCTCCGTCCCACGACCCTGGGATCGTGACCTGAGCCAAAACCAAGAGTCGGACGCTCATTGACCGACCTACCAGGTGCCCTGGGTTTTCAAGTTTTCAAACGCTTCCTGTTTCTGGTGACGGGGTCAGGCAGCTGCAGCCCACAGCGTAAAGGTTCCGAGATTTCCCAGAAACGGCTGGTGTTGATCGGCGCACAGCCTCCGGCACTTTGTCCAGAGCCTGGTTTTAGCCTCTGGCGTGTTCCTCACGGCTGGAGTAAGAGATAGGGGTGAGGCTGGGGGCGCTGCGCGCCCCGGGCGGGCCTCTGCTCCCCCCACCTCCCCTCTTCCCTTCCTCCCGTCCCCATCCAGAGTCGGTGGTGCGTCAGAGCCTTGTGGCGCAGTGGTTGGCACGCAGGAGGGGCTCTCTCGTTCCTCCCGCACTCGTCGGCCCTGTCGGGGCCCCAGCGAAGGGGCTGGGAATGGAATTTGGCTGGAGGGACACTGGGGCACGGCCTCGGAGTGGTGTGTGGACGAGCAGCTGGCCGTGCCCCTGGCGTTCTGTTGCCGGCTCCACGCGGCCCAGCTCCAGCAGGGTGTGGTGGATTTGTGCCGACCGTGAGCGCCCAGATCTGGCGGGAACTTGTGTCCTGGGTCTGGCGAGGCCGGCCTGCCAGCTTTCTGTGGCTTTGACCGGGCGTCCTGGTTGGCGGACGGAGCCCCGCTCCCGTTACTTACGGACTGAAGAGGAAACAAAGCCAACGGGAGTCTAAAAATAGCCCAGTGTGCTTCTCCGGGCCAAGGCTCCCTGGGCGGCCGCCTCGGTCCCCCTCCCGCCACCACAGAGGCGCCGCCCAGCCAGGGCTCACCCTGCCAGCCTCGGCACCCCCACCCCCACCCCCCCCGGGCCCCCCCCCCCCCCCCCCCCCCCCCCCCCCGGCAGGGCCGCTTCCCCCCCCCCCCCACCCTTCTGCTTGGCTGCCGTCCGCGCGTCTGTCTGACCTCAGGGCACCCCCTCCGTCCCTTCTGCCTGGGAGGTGCTCTGTCCAGCCCCCGGGGCCCCCATCACACAGTTCACGGTGAGACCCGCCTGCTGTGGGCACCTGGCGGTGGGCCTGGCGCACAGCAGGTGTCGTGCGTTGAGAGTCCGGTACCTGGGGTGCCTGTGGCCTCGTGGAAGTGCCACGTGGGGAAGGTGCCAGAGTCTTTATGGACCGGCCTGTGCCCTCGTGGGCAGGTGTGCCTCTCTAGGAAGTGTGTGGGGGCCTCCCTCTGGGCGCCGGCCGCCCCTCTGGGCCTGTCCGCGTCAGGACGGCCCAGTGCTGCCGGCGGGCAATGCCGTGTGGCCCTCGGGGTGGCTGGGCGCCGTGGTGCCTGCAGCTTCCTCCTTGGCCGGGTCAGCCGGAGCCCCGCGCTGGGCTCACCTCCCCTCTGGTCTTGGTCTGGGTCGAGCTGCTGGCGACCCGGTGCTGCTGAGGGAAAGGATCTGCCGTCCTGCCGAGCTGCGCTGTGTCCGTCTGTGGGTTGGGCTGCTCCTGGGCAGGTGGGCTGCAGGTTAGCGAACATAGAGTGATGGAGCATGCAGGGCCACCTGACCCTGGGTGGGGGCAAGCTGGGTCTCTCCGTTCCTGGAAGCAGGCTCTTGTCCCCTCACCGGAGACGTGTTCCTCCAGGGGGAGCCAGCGGCCTGGGTGGGGTGGGGCCGCGGGGGCCACCGGCGGATCAGTGGTTTCTGGGAAGGGCGGGGAAAGGTGGTCATGGGGACTGAAACCCTCTGCACCTGTGCGTGCCGGGGCCCTCTCACGCGTCTCCGCGTTTCTCTGTAGAAGGAGGTCTCGGGGTCCCCTGGGCAGGGGCGCACGGGAAGGCCACGCACGTCCTTCTGAGCTCTGTTAACTCCGGAGCGCTGGGCCCAGCGGCACGGCCGGCTCAGCTGGTCACTGTGCCCGTCACTGCCCTTGGATGATCGCAGCCTGCCTGTGCCCGGAGGAGGCCTGCAGGGGCTGGGTGGGCAGAGCCTGGACACCGGCTGTTTCCCTTGCTTGGAATGGGAGGCCGAAGCTCCACAGTGCTGCTGTGGACGGTGAGCTAGCCTCCGAGGTCAGGGACCTGGCCACGGCAAGAGACACCTGCGGCACCCCTGTCCGTTCCCAGAACCCCACCCTACGGGCAGGGATGTGCCAGGAGGGCCCTCGAGGGTGGGGGTGTTACGGGAGGACCCCCAGGGCTCAGTAGACGGTGGTCCCCAAGCCCCAAGGCTGTGGTTTATACAGAGAGGATAGGAAGCAAGATGACCTCCGGGCAGAGGCGTGTGGGGCAGGGGTGGGGACACCAGGCCAAGCTTCCAGAATCCTCTCCCACCGTGTCCCTCAGGATGTGCTTAATTCCCCCAAACCGACACGTGAGCTGTGGTCTCCAGGGGGCGTAGAGACCCAGCGCCCAGGTTCTCACCGGGGGTCGGTCAGCAGGCCCCTCTGCCGGGCTCGGGCGGAGACCCCAGACCCCAGGAGGGGAGCAGGTCCTCGGCGCAAACCTCGTGTCTGCACAGACAGCTCCGGGACGCGAGCCCCCCGCCCGCGAGGGTGGTGGGAGCCCCGGAGTCCGGGTCCAGACTCCCCTGAGGGCCGGCCTCGCGAGCCGGCCTCGGGGGAGGGAGGCGTCAGGCCCGTGTGGGCTCTGTCTTGCACAGGACAGTAAGCACTTTGGACTTGAGCCACTCCTGAGGCCCTCAGGGCTCTTCTTGGGAGTGCAGATCCTGAAAGTTCCACAGGTGGGAGGGGGTTCAGAGACAGGACGACTGGGGTGTGGGCAGCCCCCCCCCCAAGGTGCCAGAGCGCGTGAGGGTGGCCGCCCCTTCTCCCCGTCCCCCACGCCATGCGCTGTCAACAGCACATCCACCGCATGCTGCCCTAGGCGGTCTCCTCGCGTGTGCACCGGAAGACGGGCCTGGCTCGGGCCCTGGCTCACGGCCTCATGCCCTGGGGCAGCAGCACGCAGGACCTTCTCTGCTCGGGTGTCTCTTCCGTCCCTTTGTGAGAGCCTGCAGGGCCGGTGCCCCGTTGGGCTGCTGTCTTCACGAGAAGGGTGGGGGTTCCGGGTCACCTCACCGCATGTGTGGGGGTGCAGGTGAGGGCGGTCACCCCCGACCCTCGGCTTCCAGGAGCCCCGTCCTGTCCGTGGACGGGCCTGTTCCGGACATTTCACCCATGCGGATTCAGACCCCACGGGGCCTCTCGTGTCTGGTTCCCTCCCTGAGCGTCGCGTGTTCGGGGTCCGTCCGCGGGGCGGCGGGGGCGGGCGCCTGGCTCCTGCTGGCGTCCGGGGGACCTTCCTGTGTGTGGGGGACACGCTGGTGGACATTTTGGGTGGTTTCCACGGTTTGGCTCTTCTGAATCACTCACGCTGCCGAGGTCACGCGTGCACGGGATCTTGTGTAGATGTGTGTTTTCCGTTGTCCGGCGGGCACCGAGGAGCCGTGATGACTGTCTTTTCAAAGAGTGATACAGTTAGGCTCCTTGGCTTGTGGAACGCCACGGCTGTGGCCGCGTGGGTTGTCACGAACCGGGTGCTCCCGGGCGGACTTGGGCCCGGAGTCGCCATGTCTGTCTGCCGCGCAGGGAGAGCTGGAGGGAAGGTGCCTCGGGGCCCTTGCAGGCGGACAAGCCGGCGCAAGCCTGGGGTCAGATGGACGCCCCGGGGGGTGTTTGTGTGTTGCAGAGAGCAAGCCGTGCGGACGCTGTCACCTGGCCGCTGTCGCCTGGCGGAGACCTGTGCCCCGGGGCGCTTCCTGAGTGCCTCGCCAGCGGGTGGGAACAGAAGCGGCCGTGCCTCGCGGTCCCGCGGCGTGTCCTCTGGTGTAGCTGGAGCCTCCGGCCCACCGTCTTGTTGTCCCGTGTGTGCCCCGTCCCTGCTCCGGGCCGCTGTGCGGTGACCGACCGTGGGTGGTCCCGTGGCCCCAGGCGCCGCCGTCCCCTCCCCCGTCTCACGTCCCCCCCACTTTAGCGACCGCGCCCATCTCATCCTCTCTCCGAGGGCCGGGCGGGCGGGGCGCGACGTCCAGGGAGGCCCCCCCAGCCTCCCTCCTCTTCTCTTCCTTCCAGCTGGAAAGAGGCGACTTCCTCTCGGAGGAGTGGAGAGAGCGGATCGCCAACACAAGGTAGGGTCCGGCCCCGGGCAGGTGCCCCGGGGGAGGGTGGGTCCGTGGCCATGGGGCACGAGCTGTCTTTCTCTCCCGGCCGGCCCCTCGCCTACAGCAGAGGGGGGCGGGTGGGGGTGGGGAGGTGGCCGGGCCCCCGGCTCCCACTGCCCCTCCCCCCCCCCCCCGGCCAGCCACGGGGCTGGCTGTCCGCACCCCTGACCCCTGAGGGCGGCCGGCTGGGACGCTGCGGCGTTGCCCACGGGCCTGCCCTGGGCCCGACACGGGTCTGCGGCCCCTTCTCTGGCCTCCAGCGTGTGGGTCTCCCCGGACACAAGTCAGCCTTGCCCGCAGCAGCCACTGTCTGGGGGACCTGGCAGTGTGGCCTCTCTCTGCCTTTCCTGCAGGCTTACCGCCTGCCGCCCTGTGTTCCCCAGCGTCTGAGCCTGGGGGCAGGTAGAAGGCAGGGGTGGGGTGGGGGGGGCGGCTCTTTGCAGAGTGTGTCCCTTTGTGGCGCTCCTGTGACAGGTCCCCCATCTGTGCTGGGTCCGCCCTGGTCTCCCTGCCAGCCCGGTCTTCCTTCTTTTCCTGAGCCCCTTGTGCTGACCCCATGAGCGTCCCCATCGGTAGGGATGTGAGGGCTCTCCAGTGGAGAGGAAGCCCCATCCTCACCGAGAGCTGGCTAGCAGCATCCAGGCCCAGGGGTCCGGTCTCTGGTTGCGCTGGCGATGTGAGAGCTCATGGCGAGCACACCGCCCCCCTGGGCCTCGCCGCCCCTGGTCCTGTGGGAGAGCAGGACGGGCCTTGGGCCCGGAGAGCATCACCTGACGTGCCCCAGGCGCTCTGCTTCTGGGCCCCCTCCCCAGCAGCCCCCTTATCGTTAGGGCGTCCGCCCCTGCTTTGCCTGGCCTCAGTGAGCTTCTGGTGGCTTCCGAGACATGAGAGGGTGGCTGCCTTCAGAGCACCCTTCTTCGGTCAGGGCTTATCGCACCCAGCTCTCTCGTCGGGGCTCGGTCTCTCAGCCTCCAGGGACGCCTGTGCCCCGGCCTAAAGTCCCACCCGCCCTCCTTCCATGCGGCGCTGTGGGGGGAGCACACTGGGCGCTTCTGCGTCTCTAATGCCTGTTGGGTGCGCTGTCTGTTCTCACCCTGCTCAGGCTCCCCAGGACCATTCTGTTACTGGGTGCAGTGACGGTTTCCAGGATTTTTTTTTTTTTTTTTTAATATTTATTTTTCGGGAGAGTGTAAGCAGGGGAGGGGCAGAGAGAGGGGGACAGAGCTGTCAGCACGGAGCCCGACGCGGGGCTCATGAACTGTGAGATCATGACCTGAGCCAAAGTCAGACGCTAAACCGACTGAGCCACCCAGGCGCCCCAGGTTTCCAGGCTTTTTAATTTTAAACCATCAAGACTTAAATGGAGCAGCGAGGGGACGGCCATCGGCCCTCTCTCTGTCTTCCGTCACGTTCCGGTGAGGAGGTAAACTCCCTGTCCGCAGTTCTGACGGCTGTGCCCCGTTCTCGCTGTGGCGTAGTTTTTACCTGGAGGCCCTTAGGTGGGGAGACAGGAGCCACACGACCGCGCACAGAGCCGGGTTACTCGTGGGCTCAGATGAGCCAGCGGCGTGCTGCTCGCAGAGCGCGGCCGTCAGAGTTCCTCTCGTGGGCGAGAGCCGGGCCTGGGCGGGCGTGGGGCGGCGTGTCCGGGCCAGGCACGAGGGAGAACGGAGAAGGGACGAGCCACACCCTCCCTGGGGACGACTTCGCTTCTGGTCCCACGGGTCCTCTCCTGCTGCCTCGGTGTCCTCACGTCTCTGTCCCCAGGGGACATCTCTGCGGTCCTGTTTCGGCCCCAGGGGCCTCCTCCCGGCGAGCAGGTGTCCCCCTTTCCTCCAGGGAAGCGGGCAGCCTGGTTGTCGAGCCAGCAGCAAGCCGGGCTCAGCGTCCTGGCCCGCGGGCCCCGGTCGCACCCCCTTTCCCCCCTCCCCGGGCTGGGGCGCTGGCGGAGGAGGCCGTGGCATGGTATGCCCCGGAGTGCTGTGCGCGTGCGCGGATGGAGCCTTCGTTGTACTCAACTGGAATATTATTTTGCAGTGTTATATTTGTGAATAACTTTGCCTTTGGTCCTGAGGTGGATCACCAGCTGAAGGAGCGGTTTGCGAACATGAAGGAAGGTAACGCGCTCCCCGTAACCCTGCCCTGCGTCACCCTGCGCCCGGTCTGTCTGTGGATCTGGCACCGGTTGTGGGGCTTGGAGCCCTTGCCCGTGTCCGTCAGCCTCGGGAGTGGGCTTCCGCTGATGGGACCCGGGTGGGCGGCCAGACTGACGAGCGGGCCCCAGGCCGTGCGGTTACGTTCCCGTTTCGCGTAGACACCGAGTGACTTCTCTGTACAAGGATGTCCCCGCTTCTGCTGCAGGATCGCTCGGTCCGTGCCTGAAACTCAGATTTGACTGGCGTCCCCATTTTATCTGCTGGCCCTAACCTGGGGGTGGTGAGGGCACCGGGGCCGTCCAGACCGGCCCCTTTGCTCTTCCTGGGTTTTCCCTGTGTCTGGGCCCATCGCCGCCCGGCCGCCTCCGCCTTCTGTTCCCGGGGTGGGCAGGAGGGACGGCCCCTTTGCTGTGTGTGAGGCTCTGACTCGCGGCCACAGCTGCTCGGCACGGCTGGGGGGGGGGGGGCAGTGGAGGAGCCTGGGAGCCCGCACTCGTGTTCTCAAGCCAGACGTGCGCCTAGGGTCGTGTTTCCCTCGTGCCCGTGAAGGCTTCTCGGTTTGCAGCTGTGTTGGTGCTTTGGTGACGTGTGAGGCCCTCCACTGTGTCCGGCCTGAGCCGCCTGGGGAAGAGTATGTGTTTTCTAAATCTCGGCAAGCTGAGAGTCAAGGCCGCGTGCCGAGGTGGAGCCTCTTGGCAGCCTCATGGCCGCTTCACGGCCTGGCACAGCCAGCCGCTCCCTCTGGGGGAGCACCTGGGAACGGGCGTCCTGAGTGGCGGCCCAAGGTGCCTGTGCCATGGGGCCGCGCGCCCCGCCCCACCCCCCCCCCCCCCCCCCGCACACCCTCTGTGGCTGCGGGAGGAGGGAAGGAGGGTCGGGTCGGCTCTTGGCTTCTGGCCCCGGGAGTGGGGTCAGGGCCCGCTCAGGCCGCAGGTGGCCCAGGTTAGGTGTCTCCTCTCCCTTCGCCGTGCCAGGGGTTTCCTGGTGTGCTTGGAATGTCAGACGGACGAGAACATCCCGTGTAGAATCTTCTCAATAGGTGGGAGTCAGCTAGTTTGTTTGGATACCAACTCGGCCTTTGTAAGTGCCGGTGGGCCACACAGCATGTTGTGCTCGGACTCGGCGCGTGGGAGAGAGAACCCGGCGAGCTCCCGGAGGGAGGTAGGAACGCCAGCACGCTTGTGGGCTACAGGTTGCCCTGGGCACCCCGTGGGCCACGGCGGGTCCTCCTGTCTGTCTCCGTGGACGGGGGCCGTGCCGCCTGGCCGTTTGCTCTCCTCGGTGTGCAGCCTCCTGCCTGTTTCTCAACCGTCCTCACTGACCCAAGAGTCGAGGTCGTACCTGTTTCTCCCCGTGGAGAAAGTCCAGTCAGTTGGGCCGAGCCCTGTGACGCGCTGAGCCCCGCGTCCTTGGCCGTCGTGCACGGTGTTTCAGGAGAGAGGAGCCCACCGCTCGTGGGTCCGGTCTGCAGCCAAGTGCTCAGACCCTAGCTCGGGACTCCCCTCCCCACAAGCGCCCAGGGTGCACGGCGGCCGGGCTCCGGGTGGGGGCCAGGGGCTGCAGCTGTCCTCGTTAGAGCTCTGACCTCAGGCGCTCGTCCTTCTCCGGGTCCTCTGGGCATGAGCACGACTGGCCTGCGGGCGCCCGGTGGGGTGTGCCCTGGTGGGGGAAGTGGGCCGTGAGCTGTGGCTGTACCGTGAGGTTGTGTATGCTGTCCTCACGCTGTTGGCCCCCCGGGGCCTGGACGGGAAGCCCCAGGAAGTGCCCTCATTCTTAGCCGGTCACTGCAGTTCCTAAAGCTACAAGAACTTTCTAGGCTCCTAGATGGCCTGCATGTGACCTCAGTGCTCCCAGCCAGGGAGTGGCACCTTCCCTGCCTCTCCCACCTGGGTCCTGTCCCTAGCTGTAAGAAGGCCCCGGGTGCCCTCTTCACCCCTGTTGTTAGAGAGGAACGGGATTGGGTCCCCTGTGTCTCGTGATAGAAGGTTTTGAGCTCGTGAGAGGGTCGCTCTGCGTAGACACAGGCGGTTGCCGGCTGTCTTCAGCACCGACGGCCACGGGTCGTGCACACGTGTGTCTGTCTCTTGGTCATTTTGGAGGAGGGAGCGGTGGCTGTCCCAGGGTAGGGACCGAGCCATGCACCTGCCCCGGGACGGACCGGGGAGCCCCTCCGCCTGCTGCCCGCCCGAGAGCTTGCCTTCCCGCCGCCCTGCCCTGGCCAGGGGCCTCGCGGGCTTTGGCTCCAACACATCTCCTCCCTGCTCGTCGGGGATGCCTGCCGGGCACTCGGGCTCGCCGTCCCGCGTGGCGTTGCTCTCTGGGTCTCTGCATCGTGCTTTCCCGTGGGAGGGCTGCCTGCCTAGCCCTGCGGTCCCAGCTGCCGGCCGTGACCTCCTCCCGGGCCCTCGCGGCACCGGCTGTTGCCGAGTAGGCAGCGCGGGGTGCCGGGCTCCTAGCGGGAGCGCCCGTGGACCCGGCGTTTATCCCGCTTGGCACCACGCTCTCAGAGGCGCCCTGGGTTCCCAGCGTCCCACGGGGCTCTGTTCAGTCCCTGGCTGCGAGACCTCTGATGCGACCCCGCGCGCTCTGTGAGCTCTGGCTCATGCCCTGGCACGACACGTCCGCCCCCTGACTTCGCCCCTGGCCCGGCGCTGGGCCCGTCACCCCCTGCTCCCAGGGGGCCGGTTCTCAGGACCGGGTGGGGCAGTGGGTGCTCCCGGCGCCGGGGGTCATGGCGGGCTGGCGTGTTTGTGCCCGTGTGCGTCCGTGTCTGTGTGCGTGTGTCGAACTGCACTCAAAGGGAGTTTTCCGATTGATTGATTCGTTGATAGAGAGGAGGGAGGGTGCACAAGCAGGGGAGGGGCAGAGAGAGAATCCCCAGCAGGCTCTGTGCTGTCAGCGCGGAGCTTGACGAGGGGCTCAGTCCCACGAACCGTGAGATCATAACCTTAGCCAAAAATCAAGAGTCGGAGCTCAGCCCACCGGCCACCCAGGTGCCCCGGGACTTTTCCAATTTGAACGTGACCTTATTGTTTTCCTCGACTTCTCCGACTGGCTCTTTTTTCCCTCATACGGAGAAGCGTGGCTTCTGGGAGCGCGTGTGTTTGTTCGCGGTGTTTGTCACGCACGCGCTGCGGACTCCCTCCTGAGCCCGCGGATTCCTCTGTGAGTCCTCTCTCCTTAGAACTCCGCACACTGGGGATGATGCGGCCCGTGTGGCTGCCCCGCCGACGCGGCCCGGTGCTGCTTTTGGGGCCCTAGGGCTTTGCCTTGGCTGTCGATTGCGGGACGCGCCCCACAAGCACGCAGACCGTGGCGGGGGGGGGGGGAGCGTGCCAAGTCACCGTCCTCACTCCCGCCTGGTCTGTCCTCACAGATGGGTGAGCCCCCAGCTGGGACCTTTGGGTCCGAGGTCAGCACCGTGGGGCCTCGGACCGTTGTCACAGGAGAGCAGCTGGCGGGACAGAGTTAAGCTGGGAGGCGGCACCTGGTCCTGCTCTTCCTCGTAGGAGGCGGACGGGACTCCGTCCTGCTGCTGTGCACGCGGTCGCTGTCCCCGCTCCTCCTGCGGCTTCCCCTTACTCCCCTGACGTCTGTCTCCCTCTCATTTGTGTGCGTGCAGGTGCTTCCCCACGAACGGCAGTAACTAGGTTTGTGTTTCAGGCGGCAGAATTGTGTCCTCGAAGCCCTTTGCGCCTCTGAACTTCAGAATAAACAGCAGAAACTTGAGCGGTAAGAAGTTCTTGGTTGCTGAAGTATTAAGATCTGTGACTTCCGGCATCTGGCTGTGTCAGCATAGGGTCTGTCCCCCGGCACTGCTCACGTCGGGGCAGACCGCCCCCTGGGGGGCATTCCTCCCCTGCCCGGCCCCCGCCCCCACCCCATGCCAGGACTGCCCTGGTTGTGATGACCACAGACGTCCCCAGACCTGCCCTGTGTCCCCTGGGGGCAGAGTGGCCCCAGGTGGGTGTCGAAGGCGGGACAGGTCAGGAGAACTCAGGGAGGGGTCTGTCACAGGGGTGGCTGTCCTGCATAGCATGGGCTGCACCTCAGGCCCCTGGGCCAAGCCACATGGGCCCCGGGGCTCATGACCTCTTGTGTGCCGCTGGGGGCTCCTGTAGCCACGTTGCTTTTCAGTCGCCCTCTAAGTGGTCTCCAACCCCACGGGGGCTTGTCGCCATTCTCCTTGGACAAGCCCCTCGGGGGAGTGGGACTGATGCGAGCACCTCACCTGGCCTCCCACCTGTCTCTTGTGAGGAGGGAGGGAGTCCCCACAAAACCGCGCAGAGCCTCCCCCCACCCACACACACACACCCTGCTCACCCCTCGGGCGCAGGAGGGGCCCTGACCGCAGCCCTTTGTGCGCAGACATCGGCACCATCATGCGCGTCGTGGAGCTCTCGCCCCTGAAGGGCTCTGTGTCCTGGACGGGGAAGCCGGTCTCCTACTACCTGCACACCATCGACCGCACCATAGTGAGTGCCCCACACGTGCGGGGTGGGGGGGCCCGGCGCTCTCCACGGCCCCAGCCCTTGTGTGGGGCGGGCCTTGTCCCGGGTGGCTCGTGACAGGGTCGGGCCCCACACGCTGGGAGCCCGGATCGGGTCGGCCCCCACAGACGTCCGCCTGGGGGGACTCTGTGCCACCCTCCCGAGAGCGCCCGCTGGCTGTGCCTCCGGGACGTCGCTTTCGTCCTGAAAGGGTCGGGGCTGACTTCTAATAAGGGTTTTCCTTTCCTTTTTGTATTTTTAGCTTGAAAACTATTTTTCTAGTCTGAAAAACCCAAAACTCAGGGTAAGTCTGTGTTCTTCCCTCGCCTGAACGGCGTGTGTGCGCTGCCTGTTGGGGTGTGCGGGTTGCAAGTGGCCACACACGCGCAGGTGCTGGTCTGTGCGACGGGGTCTGGGTCACGGCCCTGCCCGCGCACACCCGCCTCAGCCTTAACGGCCGAAGCTGGGCCACGGTTCTTATGCGCGTTTCGGCAGCGGGTTGAGCGGGTCTCTGAAGTGGGCTTTGGTGACGCGGGCATTTGTGCTGAAGGGCGGCGAGCGGCCCTCGTGCCGTCCCGGCGTGAGTCGCCATCCGAGGGCAGAGCGGCCGCCCCCGCAGCGGGGCGCCAGCCTGGGTCCTGACTGCGCCGGCCGCCTGGTTCCTGCATTCCTGCCAGTGCTCACGCCCTCCCCGCTGCGGCCTCGCGGCCGCTGTCCATTTGTTCCGTACGTCTGCCCGAGAGCTTTTCTTCCTTTCTGGAGACTCAGACAAGTCCGTGTGCAAGAGAGGCCTGTCAGACGGCCAGCTCCTGCCACCTGGGGCCCCGTGTCCTTCCCACCGTAGCCGGGCACCTGTGCCCACAGCCCTGCGGCCGCCGGCCCGCCCGGGTGTTGCTGGGAGCCCAGGCCGGCGGCAGCGTCTGCCCTCGGGCGCGGGCCTCTCTCGGTGTGGCGGTGTGGCAAAGCTCGCCGCCCGTGGGAGGGAAAGGACTGTCGGGCGGCTCCTCCGCCCCGCGGTCCTCGCGGTCTGCCTGGAGGGTGGCGGGGGGGGGGGGCTGCACTCTCGGGCTCCGCTGTGCCTCGGTTTCCCCGCCTGTGCTGGTGGCGCACCGCGAGCCGTGCAGGAGGGCCCGGCCGAGCCCGCGCATCCGCAAACGCCCCCCGCTTGCTTTCCAGGAGGAGCAAGAGGCGGCTCGGCGCCGGCAACAGCGAGAGAACAAGAGCAACACGACCACTCCCACCAAGGTGCCCGAGAGCAAGGCTGCCGTGGCCGCGGACACCCCCGTGGTGAGCGCTCACCGCACGCCCTGCACCCGGGCCCCCCCCCCCCCGCCGTGCTCCGTGGAGGGCGGCGGCTCCCGTGACTTACCGGGAACGCGTGTCCCCGACAAGGGCGTCGCGTCCCCTTGACGTCCCGCTGTCCGCTAGGATTCCGGTGCCGAGGAAGAGAAGGCTGGGACGACCGCCATCAAAAAGCCGTCCCCCTCCAAAGCCCGGAAGAAGAAGCTGAACAAGAAGGGGCGGAAAATGGCCGGCAGGAAGCGCGGGCGCCCCAAGAAGATGAGCGCTGCCAACCCCGAGCGCAAGCCCCGGAAGAGCCAAACTGCACTGGACCTCCTGCACGCCCCGGCCTCGTCGCAGACGGCGGCGCCCTCGCCACAGGGTGAGCCGGCCGCGGGCGGGCCCACAGCCCCCCTCACCTCTCCACCTCGGGGCTCAGGCCGCGGTGACGGCTCGTGCGCTGAGTGGCTCGGTGCCGCAGACGCACTGGGGCGTCCCCCGGGCCTGTCTACGCCCGGGCGCCCCGCCCCGGAGCGGGTCCCGCTCTGGGCCTTGCCAGCATCCTGCTGACCCAGGCTCTGGTGAAGAGCTGGGATTTCTTCGGTCGCGAGGGGACGCGTCTCTGCTTCCGGAACTGCCGGGACGTCGTGTCTGCCAGCGAGCGTCCTTGGCCGACCGCGTTCGGTCGTGTCTTTACAAAGACCTGGCAGTTCCGTGGAACGGACTGGCCGGGCCCCGGGAGCGTCAGTCTGCCGCTGACGCGTGAATCTGCTTCTCCCCGCAGATGCGTACAGGTCACCTCATAGCCCCTTCTATCAGCTACCTCCCTGCGTGCAGCGGCACGCCCCCGACCGGCCGCTGCTGGCAGCCACCCCGCCCGCACTGCAGAAGCTGCTAGGTGAGCCGCGGCCTGGCCCGCAGGCCCCCACGCTGGGCGCCCCGGGCCTCAGGCTCAGTGCCGCCAGGTGGCACCTGGGCCTTGGGTCGGCCCGGCCCCCTGGTCGCCTGAGGTCGGGGCTCCACCCCAGGGCATGTGGGGCCATTTCTGGGGGGGGGGGGGGGGGGGGTCTGTGACTGTCTGGACTGCGGTGCTTCTGGTATCGAGGGGGTGGGGCCCAGGGTGCCGCGCGGTGCTCCCCAGAGAACAGTCCGGGCCGTATCTACGGCAGTGGGTGGGGGAGGCCCCGTGTACGCACGCGCTCACGATGTTAGGCCGGGTAGACCTGTTGCTCGTCTAAACATCAGGCGAAGGAAACCCCTTCTGTGCTTCGGGCGTCGCCGGTTCCCTCGGTTCAACATCGGTAGCCCGTGTTTACAAAAAAACCGGCAGATTCAGTAACACGGCCTTGCGGGGAGGACGACACCGGGGAGCGGTGGCAGCAGCCACGAGGGGCTCCAGGGGGCACCGAGGGCCCTGGCCTGATGGCAGGAGGTGACCTCCAGCAGCCTGTGGGGACGGCGGCCACGCCCTCCCACACCGGCGTCTGAAGGGCCCCACGGGGCCACGTCTGCAGCGAAGTCGTCTCGCTTCCCCCTAGAATCCTTCAAGATTCAGTACCTGCAGTTCTTGGCCTACACCAAGACCGCCCAGTACAAGGCCAGCCTTCAGCAGCTGCTGGACCAGGAGAAGGTGAGCCCTGCCCTGGGCCCCCTCACGGAGCGGTTCTGCCCCCCGGGTCCCGAACGCTGCCGGGCTGTCCTGGGCCCAGAGGCATAACCCGGCGGGGGCTCCCACGCCGTAGGAGGAGCAGTGACGGTCTCCGCAGGCCCAGTCACCTGCCCCTGCAGGGTCTGGAGAGGCTGCGGGACGTTGCTCCTCACCGAGCAGCGATGCTCTCAACCACTGCGATGGGCCAAGGGGCGTCGGCCTTCTGGGCCGGGGCATGTCCCGCCGTGGGAAGGGGCGTGGGGGCACGGGGCCTCCCGTCACCGTGCTGCGCCCCTGCAGGAGAAGAACGCCCGGCTGCTGGGGGCCGCACAGCAGCTGTTCGGCCACTGCCAGGCCCAGAAAGAGGAGATCAAGAGGCTCTTCCAGCAGAAACTGGATGAGGTAGGGGTGCCGAGACCGCACCACCACCCTGGGCGGGCAGCGTGCGGGCCAGGGCACGGCCCAGGGAGTGGAGATCTGGAAGGATCTTCTCCTTCCTGGGGTTTTGACCTTTCACCTGTTCTGACGGCGGGTTCCGGAACGTGGGAGGGCTCGCGCCCCTTTCCCCGGCGGCCGCCCCCCGGCCCCCTCCTTACCGGCCCCACCCCTTGCCCGCCATGGCGCATGCCCGCATGAAAGCCCACCCGTGCTATCGTGTGTCCACAGCTGGGGGTGAAGGCGCTGACCTACAACGACCTGATTCAGGCGCAGAAGGAGATCTCGGCCCATAACCAGCAGCTGAGGGAGCAGACGGAGCAGCTGCAGGAGGACAACAGGGAGCTGAGGAGCCAGAGCCTGCAGCTGGTGGGCGGGGGGCGGCCTTCTGGGGCACACGGGGTGGGGAGAGGGGCGGCGGAGGGGGCACATGGGGCGGGGGGGGGGGTGGCCTGGAAACGGTCATTCTGTGTGCACCCTGGACAGGCAGGATGACAGGGTGCTCGTGGGGCCCGACGTCCTTCCCGAGGATGGGTTTCCCAGGCCCCCCCTCACCCGACTCCAGTCCGGCTCATTCTGGGAGCACTGAGGTCCCTTCCTGGGCTCTCAAAGGACGTGGGAGCCAGCAGGGCCCAGGGCTCTGCCAAAGGCCCTGACGCTTTCACCAGACGTGGCTTTGTAGGTGGCCCAGGCTTTCGCGTTTCTGCCACCCATGCTGGGCTCCCGAATGCACCCCTAGGGCTAGGGCGCAGGTCTCTCGGGACCTCGCTCCCACGGGGCCCAGGGCACGTTGCTGGACGGGCAGAGCGCCACTTCTCACGGGGCCTCCCCGTTCGGTCCTGAGGACCCTCATCTTGTCCCCCTTGGGTGTTCCTACAGGGGACCCTGGTCTCCCCCTTGGGCTGCCTTCTCAGCCTCACCTTCCCTTAGCGGGTCCCTTCTCTGGGCCTGCAGGCCCTCAGGGACACCTGTCCGGTGTCTGCCCTGTGCCGGGCGGACCGGTGCCCACCCCGCCCTCCCCGCGGGCTCACGACTGCGGCCTCCCCGTCCCTGCAGCTCAAGGCTCGGTGTGAGGAGTTGAAACTGGACTGGTCCACGCTGTCGCTGGAGAACCTGCTGAAGGAGAAGCAGGCCCTGAGGAGCCAGATCTCCGAGAAGCAGAGGCACTGCCTGGAGCTGCAGGTGGGGGCCCCTCTGGGCTTTGACGCATCACGAACGCGGGAAGTGCCCCCCGCCAGCCCCCCGAAACCACCCTGCTCCCGAGGACAGGATATGGGTTGTGTTGCTGCAGCGACGGCGGCCCTGATGCCCCGTCTTGGCCCGCGGGGGGGGTGGGGCGCCGGGCTTGGCGTCCGAGGGGCCCCGCTTGTTCCCGCTTGTTCCCGGGGCGGCTCGGCTTCCGTTAGAAACCTGGGATCCCCTCGGCGCCCCTACCCACCTGGGGGTGGGTGCCGAAGCGGCCCCCGGGGAGGGCAGCGCTCGCGCACCCCGCTGCAGAGCTTGCGCTGCTCGCTGAGGACGGTGACGTGTGCGTCCAGGTCAGCGGGGACACAGGGCGAGAAGGAAGGGGGGGCAGGGGGGCCCGCGTGTCCTCACGTTCCTCGGCTGCTGGCTGACCGGGTGTCCCCACGACCAGTTGTGCTCTCTGAAGGGTTGTGGCCCAGGCCTCCCCTCCTGCTAAGCCAGCGGCATGTGGCACAGAGAAGAGGCCTGCCGACCCTGTCGGCCGGGCCGGGCCCTGTTTCCGCAGACACACCAGCAGGAGGAGCTGCTGGGCGCTGACCCTTCCGCGTAGTAAAGAACGAGGTGCTTTCCTTACGGGAGAAGAACAGAGAGGCCTCAGAGGGGGCGTCTCGCGTCCCCAGTGACCGAGAGGGAGCGCGGTGGGAGGGCTCCTCGCGGACGGAGCGCCCGTAGCCTCCTTCACAGACGGGGGCCGCCCCGTCCCGTCCCCTTTCCCACAAGTGCGCGTCGGCAGAGCTGCTCTGGACGTCCCGGAGCCTCTCGACCCGTGCGGGGTGGCCGGCGGCGCTGGCTTCTGCGTCACCCACAAAGCCGGCCCGCGTCCTTCCCGCCTTCCCGGGCCCGTCCCTCGGGTGCCTTGCTGGGCGCGGCCCGGCCGGCCGGTCCCCAGGCCGGTGGCGGCGGCAGGCCTGACCCCCCTCCCCTTGCAGATCAGCATCGTGGAGCTGGAGAAGAGCCAGCGGCAGCAAGAGCTTCTGCAGCTCAAGTCCTGCGTGCCGCCCGACGACGCCCTGTCGGCGCACCTGCGCGGGAAAGGCGCCCTGGGCCGGGAGCCGGAGGCGGACCCCGGCCGGTTGCACCTCGACCTGGACTGCTCTAGGTTCTCCCTGCCGCGCTTCAGCAGCGCCAGCCCGGAACTCTCCATGAACGGCCACGCGGCCAGCTACGAGCTCTGCGGTGCGCTGAGCCGGCCCCCCTCCAAGCAGAACACCCCCCAGTACCTGGCCTCCCCGCCGGACCAGGAGGTGGTGCCCTGCACCCCCAGCCACGGCAGCCGGCCAAGGCTCGAGAAGGTGTCTGGCCTGGCCTTGCCGGACTACACCAGGCTGTCCCCGGCCAAGCTGGTGCTGAGGCGGCACCTCAGCCAGGACCACGCGGCCGGCGGCAAGACGGCAGCCGGGGAGCTGCACCCTCGGTGAGTCTGCGCGTGGCACGCGCCAGCCCTGCTCTGGTGCCCTGGGGCCACCTTGGGGTTCTTAGGGTGAGACCGCAGAGGTTCAGAAGAGATTCGGGGCGTTTGCCGGGCCCGGGATGCCAGCTCTGGGTGCAAAACCCCGGCTCTGGCGGCTCCCCGGAGAACGAACCAGAGACGCGTCTTCTTCCAGAGCCGAGCACGCCAAGGAGAACGGCCTTCCGTACCAGAGCCCGGGCATCGCCAACGGCATCAAGCTGAGCCCTCAGGACCCCCGGCCCTCCTCCCCCGTGGCCTTACAGATGACAGGGGAGAGGGGCAGCGAGAAGGTGAGGGCGGGGCGTGGGCTGTGCGGGGCGCTCGGCAGGCATCCTGAGCCAGGCATCCTGGGCCACGCCAGGCTTCGGGGGGGGGGGGGCCGGGGGTGAGCCTGGAAACGGTGCTGAGCCCCTGTGGGAGGCTGTTGCCCGCAGGCTCGAGGAGGAGGGCGGTGGTTTCGTTCGTGAGCGGAAGGCGGCAGGTGTGAGGGGCAGCGTGTGGGTCACGGCGTGGGGACCTGAGGTTGGGGGGAGGCGGGACCCTGAATTTCGGGAGGAGCCGTGAGGGGGGCGGTTTACTGGGACAGGGGGCCTTCTCCTGTGGCGGGAGGTCCCCGTGTCCTTCCGGTGGTGCTCGCGGCCCTGCGTTAGCGGTCAGCGGGAGCAAGGAGGGTGTGGCCGTGTGTCTGCAGGGTTTGAAGGAGCGTGCCTACGCCAGCAGCGGGGAGGCCATCACCAGCCTGCCCGTCAGCATCCCGCTCAGCACCGTGCAGCCCAGCAAGCTGCCCGTCAGCATCCCTCTGGCCAGCGTGGTGCTGCCCAGCCGTGCCGAGAAAGTGGTGAGTGGACGCCGGGCGGGGAAGGCGCCGGCCACCTGCTCTCGCAGGCCCGGGCCCTCGTGCTGCAGGGGTGTGGTGTGTAGGCAGAGGGGGTCTCGTTTTATTTTTTCCCCGCAAGGCCTGGTAGTTCCCTTCTGTGAGCTTGCGCGCTGGTACGTTCGGAGCAGACCGCCCTGCTCCGGGACATTGGAACGCCCAGATTCCGGGGCTCCTCACGGTGACGTTTTCCCGTGTTTGTTTCAGGTCTGTTTTTGTAAAAGGGGGCGCGCGCGGGTGGAGAGGGACTAAAAGTCTGGATTCGGTACAGGCGCGCAGCCCGTCTCCCCTCCTGCTGGCTCACCTTTGGCCCTCCCGCCTCACGTGTGTGCCCCCGCGAGTGGCAGAAATGGCAAAGTCTCGTGTGATGCGGGCCTTACTTTGTGTTAATTGAGACACGAGTCACGGACGGCCCACCCACATAGAGCATACTTTAGTGGTTTTAATACGTTCAGTTATGCAGCCGTACCCCTTCACGGGTTCACTCACACAGGTGGACTCCCACCCCGTGTGGCCTCTCGTGTCGGGTTCCCTCCCTGAGCGTCGCGTGTTTGGGGTCCGTCCGCGGGGCGGCGGGGGTGGGCGCCTCGCTCCTGCTGGCGGCCGAGGGTCTCTGTTTGTCCGAGGGTGGACGTCCGTTTCCACCTTTGGCCATTGTGGATCACGCTGCCGTGAACGTGCACGCACAGGTTTGGTGTGCGTTCCATAGAGGAGTGGAATGACTGATTACGTCATAGCTGCAGCCGGTCCCGTCTCTCCTTGATCCCTCCGTCGCTAGCCTGACGTTCGCCGTTAGCCACAGCTATCCTTTCGAACCCAAGTCGCCTTGTCAGAACCTTCTGGTGACCGCCCACGGTGCTCAGACCCAAGCAGGTCCCTTTCCTCCTATGTGCCGGCTCTCACCTACCTGCCGTTCTCCCTGCCTCCGGCCCTTTGCACCTCCCGTGGCTTGCATCTGGGACACTCTCTTGACCTTCACCCGCCAGCCCCGGCTCAGCTGACAGCGCATCCTTTTTCTCCACAGAGAAGCACCCCCAGCCCCGTGCCGCAGACCCGAGAGTCCTTGTCCACACTTGAAAAGCAGATGGGCGCTACTGCACACAGCGCCGGAAGCAAAAGTCTCGCCCCGGCCCCTGCAGGTCGGTGGGCTCCTCCTGCTCCTGAGTCCCTGCCCCTGGCCCTTCCCCCGTGGCCCAGCTGGCCCACCTCCTCCCGGCCGTGGGGCCTGAGGCGTGGCATTGGGGCTGTCGTCACACAACACGACCAGCTCTAGGCGGTTGGGGGTTTCTCGTGTGGGCTTCGGCAGGGCTCGCGACCCTCGGGCCTCGGCTTCCCGACGTGAACGCACTCGCTCTGGCTGTATTTCAGCCCGGGAGGTGGGCCTCAGCCGGTAGGTGATGTCCTCGTCAAGCTGCTGTGGGCGTTTCTAGCCCGGTGCCGGTTCTCCTTCAGGGAACGCCGGTGGTTGAGGCCACACGCGCTGGCAGAGGCCCCAAGGGCTTTCTGTAGCAGGCAGCCAGGTGGCACTCCGCGGTCCGCTGGGTCTCGGCCCCCCTGTGCGGCTCTGTGGCTGCGGAGCGCGTGGCCCGGGATGTGTGTGCCAACGATGGCGTTTACGCAGCAGGCGCCCAGACCGCTGGACCCACGGGCTGGTCTTGAGTTAGCCGGCCCCCGTGCCGACACGTGGCCTGTAGGAAGGGAGACCCTGCCTCCAGTTCCTGGCACGGCAGCCTCCCTAGCACCGGGGCCGGGCCTCGGTCTGCACAAAAGACGTTCGCGTGCTCAGGGCTTCCCCCATGCTTGGTGAGGCTCCCGGGGCGGGCCGTGAAAGGGCTCCCTGGGGGTGCCGGCGCGCGTCCGGAGCTGCGGGCCCCCAGTCCAGAAGTGCCGGGAGCCCAGGGGCGCCCGGGGCTGGGCGGGCATCTCTCGCACCGCCGAGCTTGGCGCGCGGGCGCCTGTGTCCGGGTGCTCGAGGGAACCACGTGTAGGGCAGGTTCGTGGGTGCCGAGCTCCCTCACCAGCTGCACCCGCGCGGGTCCCCTTGGCCACTCTGCGCCGGGCTCCCCTGAGAAGCTGTCTTTTCCGGCAGGCTTCTACGCGGGCTCGGTGGCCGTCAGCCCAGCCCCCCTCGCTTCCGGAGCAGATCCCGGCACCTTTGACGAGGTCCCCAGCGCAGGCGGTCTGTTTGCCAGCGTGGGGTCCTGTGGCTCCACCCCGCAGCACCCGCCCCTGCTGCCGCAGCCCCGGGGCTCTGGCGCAGCCTCGCCCGCCCACCCGCTCTGCGCCAGCCCCCGCCTGGGCGGCGCCGCCCAGGGTCCGCTCCCTGACGCCAACAAAGGGGACCTTCCTCCCGAGGCCGGCTTCTCGGACCCCGAGGGCGAAGCCAAGCGGAGGATCGTCTTCACCGTCTCGGCCGGCGGGGGCGGCACCAAGCAGTCGCCTCCCAGCAAGCCCAGCCCTCTGCCCACGGGCGGCCGTGGGGACGGCAGCCAGGGCCACGGGCAGGACAGCCGCAAGCGGGGCAGAAGGAAGCGGGCGGCGGCAGGGACCCCCGGCCTGAGCTCAGGCGTGTCGCCCAAGCGCCGGGCCCTGCCGTCCGTGGCCGGCCTCTTCACGCAGTCTTCAGGGTCCCCCCTGAACCTCAACTCCATGGTAAGGCTGGGAACGGGCGGGGGCGGGGGTGGGAGGGCGTGTTCTGTGCCCAGCCCGGCCGGGGCCGCAGGGCTCCCGGAGCACAGCCAGGCCTCGGCCCCCTCGCCCCGGCACTCCCCCGGAGGGTCCGGTCTGAGATCCGGAGCGGGTCAGGGTGGGAGGGTCCCAAGCACAGCCCTGGGTGTCGGTGCTCTGGGAGCCTGTTGACGGGGTCGTGCTGTGTCTGTGCTGGTCCCTCAGGTTAGCAACATTAACCAGCCTTTGGAAATCACGGCCATTTCGTCCCCTGAGAGCCTGAAGAGCTCCCCTGTCCCCTACCAGGACAGCGACCAGCCGCCCGTCCTCAAGAAGGAGAAGCCCCTGAGCCAGACCAACGGGGCCCACTACTCCCCACTGACCTCGGACGAGGAGCAGGGCTCCGAGGATGAGCCGGGCAGCACCAGGTGAGGGGGGCCAGGCAGGGCAGCTTTCGCGGGAGGGAGGAGAGGCCCTCGTGATCCGGCGGGGCCCCTCCCAGGGCAGGGCCCCTCCCAGGGCAGGGCCCGGGTGAAGGACAGGCGGCGTCCGGCTGCCATTAGTTGGGGGGCACGGGGGGCACAACCCCTCGGCTGCTGTCCACGGTCCCCCAGAGCGGCCGTCCTCGGGCGGACAGTGTCTCCGGGGTGTTGGCCTCCGCTCGGCGAGTTGCTGTCTGTGAAGGGCCCTGGCCGCCTTCCCACCCACCTGAGATTCAAGGTCCAGGGCAGGGCCGGCCACCCGGGTTTGGAGGCCCCGGCGTGGGGGCCGCTCTGTTGTTTCTCGTCCGGGGCGCAGGCGGCCATGGCAGGAAAGCGCTCGAGGAGGCCGAGCTCTGCGCTGCTGGTGAACGCTTCACCCAGGGCGTGATGGGTCACGAAGGGCTTCTCTTTTGTGCGTGGCGGTCTCACTGGCGCGGATTCCCGCAGCACGTCTCTGGAGCGCGATCTGGGGGTCGGGGGCGTGTTCAGAGTGGTGCAAACGTCGCTAGTGCCAATTGGAGGAGGTTGTTGTCACCCCGAAAACAAGCCCCCTTATCCGTCACTCCCTGCCCCTGCCCCAGCCCTGGCTCCCACCATCCACTCTCTGTCTCTGTGGACGGGACTCCTCCGGGGGGACCCCCTGTGATGGGGTCACGCGGGACGTGCCCTTCTGTGTCCGGCTCCTGTCACCGCGCACAGTGGCCTCCGGGTCCGTCCACGTGGTGGCAGGCGGCAGGACGTCCTTCCTCCCTGGGGCTGGGTCACATTCCGGGGTGTGGGTGGACACACCGTGTTTGTCCTTCGTCCACGGAGGGACCCTGGGGTGGGTGTTGCCACTTTTCAGTTCATGAGGACTACGCTGCTGTGAAGTTTCACACACGTGTTTTTGTTTGAAAATGTTTTCCAAAAAAAATAGTGTTTCCCGTTTACCCAGAAGTAGAATTGCTGGGTCACACGGTGACTCTGTTTAGCTTTTTGCGGAACCTCCAGACTTTTCCGCAGTGGCTGCCTCGTCTCACGTCCCCCGGCCACGGGTGAGGGTGCCAGTTTCTCTGTGTCACTTGTTATTTTCTGGTTTTGTCATCTACCTACCTATTTATGATTTTTTTAATATTAATTTAGAGAGAGAGGGAGAGAGAGGGAGAGCACAAGTGGGCGGAGGAGAAGAGAGAGGGAGACACAGAACCCAAAGCAGGCTCCAGGCTCCGAGCTGTCAGCACAGAGCCGGACGCGGGACTCGAACTCACGGACCGTGAGATCGTGATTAAGCGGAAGTCAGATGCTTGACCAGCTGAGCCACCCAGGTGCCCCAACTGTTTTGTTTTTTTTTTTTTTAACGTAGCAGCCATTCTTACGGGCACAGCGTTTCGTAGTTGTGGGTTCCTTCTCTTTCAATCACCAGTGACGGTGAGCGTTCTCTCGTGCGCTGCTTGGCCATTTGTGCGTCTTTGGAGAAACGTGCGTCCAGGTGCTCCTTGTGTGTGGCGTCGTTGGGTGGGATTTTGTTCGACTGTCAGAGTTCTTTACGTGTTCTAGACGCCATCCTTTATCGGAGATCTGATCCTTGAACGTTTTCTCCCTTCCTCTGGGTTTTCTTTTCACTTTCTTGCTGGTGTCCTTCGAAGGGCAGAGTTAGATTTTGGTCCAGCCCCATTCCTCTTTGCCTGCTTATCTTGCCTGTGCTTTCGGTTTCTTGTCTAGGGTGATTCATTCTGTTCCTCTTCCGGGTACCTAAGTTATGTTTCTAGGAATTTTGCACTTGAGTGCTTTTGTTTTGTGTTGGGAATGTCCAACCTAGTAGTTTCCAGATCCTTTTGGAACTTTTCCTGTGTTTCTGGAGGTCATAGCATTCTTGGCACGTGCTCTGGAGATACTGACACGTAGAACATACGGATTTGGTGCCCCTGTGCCTGAGCCTCGGCCCTGTCGCCTGCCACTGGCGGCGTCCTGCACGGCACACGAGAGGCCTGGGAGCCACAGTTGCCTGTAAAGGGGTCTGAGGGCAGGTGGGCCGCGTGCCGCCTGCCTCCCCGCCTCCCCGCCTCCCCAGGCAGCAGCGTGCGCACACGGCCCTCTGCCGTGCAAATGGATTTCAAACATCTGCCGCCTATGTTTTTCTCGATAGAATTGAGAGAAAAATTGCGACAATCTCCTTAGAAAGCAGATCTCCCCCGAAAACCTTGGAAAACGGTGAGTGACTTTCCTCCCCGTTCTGTCCTGTATCTCCCCCGGGCTGAAGGTGACTCGGCCCCAGGGCGTGGCCTGGACGCTCGGCTTCTAGAATGGTCTCTGGGCAATGTTGAGTGCCACCTGCGTGGACAGCGGGACCTAGAAAGCCGTCCCCGCGGCTGTTGGTCCCGGTGCTGCCGGGCGGCAGTCCTGTCCCCTCCTGTTTGGCCCAGGCCGGAGTCTGACTCTCTCTGCTTACACGCCTGCCTCGTCCCCCCTCGCACAGGCTCTGGTGCCCGGCTCCCCCCCCCCCCCCCCCCCGGCCCGCGCTCGGCCCCCCCCGCCCCCCCCCCAACAGGCCTAGTTATGGACCGCGGCACGCTTCCCTTGGGTGGGAGGGGTGTCTCTGAGCCCCCAGCCCCTCAGAGGCCCAGCACCTCGTCTCCTGCCCCGCTCGGCCCTCGGAGGTGCCTGCGCCTCACGGGCTGCACGTCTCCTCGGCAGGTGGAGGCCTGGCTGGGAGGAAGCCGACCCCTGCCAGTGAGCCCACCAACAGCAGCAAGTGGAAGTCTACCTTTTCGCCCATCTCCGACCTCGGCCTGGCCAAGTGCGCCGACAGCCCGCTGCAGGCCGGCTCCGCCCTGAGCCAGAACTCTCTGTTCGCTTTCCGGCCCCCCCTGGAGGAGCCCGGCTCGGCCGACGCCAAGCTGGCCGCCCACCCCAGGAAGAGCTTTCCCGGTGCCCTGTCGGGGGCAGGCGGGCTGAGCCCAAGCAGCAACCCTCCCAACGGCTTCGCCTTCAGCGGGGGCCTGGCCGCCGACCTCAGTTTACACAGCTTCAGTGATGGTGCTTCTCTCTCCCACAAGGTCCCCGAGGCGGCAGGCCTGGGCGCCCCCCTGAGCTTTCCCGCCCCCCGGGGCAAGGACAGCGCTGCAGAGCCTGGGCCCTTTGTGAACAAGAGGCAGCTGGACGGCGCGGGCGGCCCCAAGGGCAGGGAGGCAGGCGAGCCGGGCCCCCCGGCGTGTGGGCCCCCGGACAAGGCCTCGCTGGCGCACGGCAAGCCGGGCAAGGGCCGGGACCGTGAGCCCGACCTGAAGAACGGCCACAACCTCTTCATTGCAGCCGCCAACGTGCCCCCCGGGGGCCTCCTCAGTGGCCCGGGCCTCGCCACGGCGGCGTCCTCAGTGGTCAGCGCGGCCCCCTCCGCCCAGGCGCACCGCCCCTTCCTGGGCACGTTTGCCCCCGGCCCGCAGTTCGCCCTGGGCCCCATGTCGCTGCAGGCCAACCTGGGCTCGTCCGTGCTGCAGTCCCTGTTTGGCTCCGTGCCGGCCGCCGGCCTGGTGCACGTCTCGTCCGCCGCAACCAGACTGACCAACTCGCACGCCATGGGCAGCTTTCCCTCCGGGGTGGCAGGCGGCGCAGTTGGAGGTAGGCGGACGCGCGTCTCTCTCCTGTGACTCTCGGGTCCTGTGGGCCGCACGCCATCGCCGACACCCTCCTGGACCGCCGGGTTAATGACAACTGCTTTCCAGGTTCCCTTGCAGGGCCCCCTAAAGGGCGAGAGGCTGTGCCCGTGTGTCCCCTCGGGTCCACTTTGCACCCGTCACCTCGTTCCTTTTCGTGAGCTGCAGACGCGCCTGTGGCGTGGGCAGAGCGCCCACGCGTGAGTCGGCCTGTGTCAGGTCCTCGGGCCGTGACGGTGTCCCTTGTACCTTCGGGAGAGCTGGCGCCACGACTAGGGCTTTGTCTCATCCCCGTGGAGGCCACCTGTCGAACCTGACACGGCCCATGGGTCCGGGCGGCCGCGGGGGGCCGGCGCTGGGCGAGAGCCGGCGGCCGTGGCGCCTGCCGCGTGGTGGCACCGTGTAGGGGTGGAGAGGAGCCGCGTGGCTGGGCCGGGCCGGGCCCACCGCGGGGTCCCAGCCAGCTCTGTGGTGGGCGCAGGCGGGCAGGACCCCGTCCTGCGGCTGGGAGCCCCGGGCAGGTGCGCCCGCAGGTGAGTCACACCGGCCGCCCGCGCCCCTCCCCCCCCACCCCCCCCCCCCGCCCCCGGCGGGGGGCGGCGTG